CGAGCCCCCCCTACGTGTTAAAGCGTCTCGGGCTGCTCTGTGGAGGATGGTACAGGGCAGAGGCAGAGCAGGAGTCCAGCAAGGAGCTGCTGCCGTAGTCTGGGTCAGCAGGCGGCGTGGTTAAGGCTCTGGACTCTCACACAGCAGTTTGCGTCCTGGACCTGGCGATTTGCTTTCTTGCGCTCTCTCTCTCTCTCTCTCTCTTTCTCTCTCTCTCTCTCGCTTCAAATTTAAAAATAGTAATAAAACAATAGTAATAAGTAAAATAAATAATTATTAAAAAAGAGACGTCAGCTCAAACCAAGATGGTCGCAGTGTGGAAGGCAAGACGTGGTCAGCGTCCAGGTGTGGTTCAGAGACCCATAAGGATTTCTGGATAGTTTGGAAAGAGGAGGTTTGAGAACTCCCAAGGATCTCGGGAAGCATGGACTCGCCGTCCCTGAGCTGGGGGGAGCAGGTCAGATGGTTCCCGAGTCCCTGGCCCTCTCTGAAGCCTCCGGTGTAGCCTGAGGACTCCAGGTGAGAGCCAGCGCCCCTCCCCCAGCAAACTCCAGGTCTACCTGGGGAAGCACAACCTGCGGCAGACGGAGAGCTCCCAGGAGAAGACCCCTGTTGTCCGGACCGTGACCCACCCTGGCTATGACGCTGCCACCCACGACCAGGACATCATGCTGCTGCGTCTGGCCCGCCCGGCCAACCTCTCCGAGAGCATCCAGACTGCTCGGCCCACCACAGCAGCTGCCATATCCTGGGCTGGGGCAAGACGGCCCACGGTGAGGCCTGAGGCTGGGGACAGGGGCAGGGGGCAGCGGGTGTGGGCCACTGGGAGACACGGTGAGGCCTGGGGCTGGCGGCAGGGGCAGGGGGCAGCGGGTGTGGGCCTCGGGAAGATGGGCCAGTGGTGAGGGCCGGTGCAGCAGCGAGTCAACAGACAGGAGGTCAGTAGGGAGAGGGCAAGTCTGGAGCTGAGCCAATGAGTGAGCAGACAATGAAGCAAGTGGACCAATGCGTGGAGAGCGTGGGAGACATGGGTCGTGAAACGAGAAGGCTGAAGTGGAGGGGAGAGCCTTTATTTTGAGAATTTATGCCTTAGGGCACATGCACTTGCCAGAGAGAGAGACAGAGACAGTGAGAAGGAAAGTGAGAAATCGCCTCCCATGGGGGATGGCCACACCACAATCCCTTCTCCTCCTGGGATCTGGGGCACCCAGGCACATGTGTCCGGCGTGAGTTTTAAGCCACCGGGTCCAGGACTCAAACAGCGGTCAGCCATGTAACCGCTAGGCCATCTGCTGGCCCAAGATCTTAATAAGGAAGATGGCCACTAGTCACAAGGGACTGATGGGGCGAGATGAGCCAGAGGCTAACAGAGGGGTACTGGAGGAGGAGACCACAAGCGGGAGTCACCCGAAGCATGGGAGCTGAGAAAGCCAGCGGGATGGAGAGAGTTCATGGGAGATGGACCGACTGGGAAAGGGTCGGTGCCAAGAAGACTCGCTAGAGGAAGGATGTGAGAAGAAACAGGTCAACAGATCTGCGAGCCCTGAAGGTGGGACTGCGAGCGAATGGTGGGAGAGAGAGGGCAGACCTTGAACCGAGAGCCAATAGCAAGGGAGAGCCAACGGAGGAGGGTGGGGCCAGGAGGGAAGGGACCAATGGCCAATCAGGATGAATCAATGGACAGGAAAGTTCCCTGAAGGCCGGACCAATGAGCAGAAGGGTAGGGTAGAGGAGGGCGCCGTGGAGAGGCCCAGAGGTCCAGCGGACTACGGAAGAGACGAAGCCGTGGGAGGGAGACGAGTAGAGGCAGGACCCGAGAGAAAACGAAGACTTGTGGAGGGATGACTAATGAGGAAGACAGCCAGTGGGAGGAACAAATGACGAAGAAGGTCCTAGCAGAGGACTAGAAAAGGGTTCTAAGAACGAGAGACACAGGACCAGCAAATGGCATAATGGCCAGGTCGCTGGACTCTCATGTAGTTGACCACGGTTCGAGTCCTGGACTCGGTGGCTTAGACTCACGCCAGGCGCATGTGCTTGCATGCCCAAGATCCCAAGGAGAATGGAGGAAAAAGGATTGCGGCGTGGCCTCTCTGTCTCTCTGTCTGTCTCTGTCTCTCTGGTGAGCACAGGCACCTAACAGCAAAAACCTCTCCAAAACAAAAAAAAAAGAAAAAGAATGAGAGACAAACCGGAGAGAAACCAGTGGGGCAAGGGAACCAGCAGGGGGCTCCGTGGGAGTTGGAGGGTGGGGGGGGAGGGCGGC